TAAGCTATACTGAAGAAGAAGATGCAAACGATTGCCGTGTAGTAATGGGGAAGATGAAAAGGTATTGCATCGGCGAAGTAACGTAACGAGATTGTTTCAGCAGGAGGGAAAAACTTCATACCGAAAAGCTCAACAGCTTAATCGCTGAACTAAAAAGAACCTTGGCAAAGAGCTGCAATTTATGTGATGTTTCATCTGCGTTCGACTCGTCTCGGGATAAAACATGAGCAAAGCACAAAGCAGCCACTGAGGATGACAGACCCCACGTTAAACAAGTGTATCGACCTTCCAGCATCCGAGATGCAAATGTAAGGATCTTAACAACGACGACGGCGACGCCGAGGATAACGTCTTGTAAACTGAATTTGCCCAGGATACCTATGGCTCTAAAACCTCGCTCAGGCTAAATATGTAATGACAGCGTTCAATTCTGAACAGAAATACAAACAAGTAGCAGTTCGACTCATCGTTCGCGTTCGCGGTCAGTTTGCGTTGTTGTTTTGCAGAGGACGGCTATGAAATGTACGAAAGTTAACTGAACACACTTGTACAGTCTTTGTTTTGCTAATTAAACCTTTTATTTGGTGGTGCTCATTGACGTCGTGGTTTGCTCCAGACTCCGTCCACAATAGGCCGGAGGAATTTAAAAGCGCATGCAGCTTTATTTCTACGGCAGAGTAATCCGTCACGAAAACGGAGCTTTTCGAAAACGCTCTTCAAACCGGAGGAATTTGAAAACGCCGGCTTTGACTTTTCGTTTGCATGGAAAACATTTTAAAACAGACCTTTTCTAACACGATAGGATCAGGAGAACCACGTGATTTCCCCGGCCGAGATTTCCTAAAACGACCGGTGATTGTTGCGTTTTTTAATTTCTCCGGTCTAGTGTGGACGACCAGGCCTTAGCTTCCTAGGCTCCTAACGAAGTCAATAGTCAGACGGCGTTCTTCAATGAGTCCAAAGAGAAAAAAATCGGAGGAGGTCCCGGCAAAGGAGAAATGCCCCATAAATAAACTCCATAAACAAAATAAATATTTAGGAGCGGAACGGACCTCGATCAAGTTTAATATTCGTTATTTTTTACTAGCATTATCTCGAAGGCTAACCCGGTGGCCAAATAAAGTTTTACTTTACTTACTTTTACTGTCGGATTTATCTGGAGGAACCTGGAATACATTTAAGAAGAATTCTTGACATAGCTACAACTGATGAAATGTCAAAGGCACAATTAGAAACCATGGGGAACGAAGATGCTAGCATTAATTGTGTAAACCAGCGTAAACAAAACGAGGACGCACTCAAAGGCAAAAAAATAAACACACTCAAAAGAAAGAACTGGGAGGGGGGGGGNCGAGTAAAGAGTATCACAAATGTGCATACATGTAAACATGGCAACAAAAAATGTTTCGCAAAAGGAAAGCGATGTACTAAGTGCCAAAAGTTGAATCATTTCACAAGGGTTTGCCGTTTCAAGCCAGATGCCAGAAAAGGAGTAAAGGAAGATGGTGACGAAGAGCTATTTGTTGGTTATATTACTTCAATTAACACAGTAGGGTTGAGTAAGTTGTATGAAGATTTAACAGTTAAAAACAAAGCTGCCAAGTTTCAGTTAGTCACTGGCGCAAAATGTAGTGTCCTTCCCTATAAAGTAATTGAAGATTTTGGAATCATTGCCACGTTGAGAAAACCCAAATCAAGTTAAAGTCATGCTCAGGTCATCAAATTCCTACTAGAGGAATGGTGACACTACCTTGTTAGCACAAAGGTAGGTGCCCCACAGTTAAGAATCAAAACATCTTGAATGAGCACTCAGATCTCTTCCAAGGTCTAGGATGCATTTCCGGTGAACACCCAATCAAGGTGGACCCAAATATTCCTGCAGTAGTTCATCCACCTAGAAAAGTACCAGTGTCCCTTAAAGACAAGATCATAGACGAACTTGACCGTATAGAGCAGACAGGGGTAATAGTCAGACAAACAGAGCCTACTGACTGAGCTGGGTCAACAGCATGGTGGCAGTGGTCAAACCAAACAAGATCTGCTTTTGTATTGACATCGGGGATTTAAAAAAGGAAATTCAAAGAGAGCATTACCCGATGATGACAATGGAAGAAGTTGTCGCTGGAATGCCACAAGCAAAGGTATTTTCAGTTTTAGAGGCCACGTCTGGTTACTGGCAAGTGAAATTAGATGAAGCTTGCTCAAAGTTGTGTACCTTCAACACCCCCTGTGGAAGATATCGCTTCACAAGGTTACCATTTGGCATAAACTATGCCCCTGAAGTGTTTCAGCACCGCATGTCAGAATTCTTTGAAGATGTTGAAGGTTTGAAAGCCATAGTAGATGACCTCCTCATTTGGGGAAAAGATGATGACGAGCATGATGCCAGACTAAAGCAAGTGTTAAACACAGCAAGTGAAGTTAATCTCAAGTTCAATGCGAAGAAGTGCCGAATAACACAGGAAGAAGTTCCTTAAGTTGGCCGTGCCCTGAGCAAAGATGGTTTGAAACCTGATCCAGAAAAGAATCATGCTGTATAAGAAATGCAGCCCCATCAAAACACTAAGGAACTTAAGTCATTCCATATCCAGTATCTGGCAAACTTTATGCCCAACATGGCTTCTGAAAGCGCACCACTGAGAGAATTGATAGAAAAGCAAGTTGCCTAGCATTGAGATCAATAGCAAGAAACTAGCTTTCAAAAACTCAAACAAATGGTTTCTTCTCCCCCATTACTTGGCTACTATGATCTAAGTAAGTCACTGACCCTATTTGGAGATGCTAGTTCTAAGGGGCTAGGTGCAGTCCTCTTTCAAGATGGAAAGTCCCTAGCGTACGCATCACGACCCCCCTCTCCAGCTCAGCAACAGTGAAACCTATGCCCAGATTGAAAAGGAAACTTTAGCAATTGCGTATGGAGCACAGACGTTTCATCAGTTCATTTACGGAAGACCAACTGTAGTGGAGTCAGACCACAAACCATTGCGGTATATCTTAAATAGGCCCTTACATCAGGCACCACTAAGGCTACAGAAAATGATGTTAACCCCGCAATGGTATGACCTGAAGATCAAGTATCTTTCTGGAGTAGACCTTTCGGTAGCCGATGCAGAACATACCTGCCAGAAACTACCGAAACCTTAATTCCAGACCTGGAAGTTAATGAAGTTCATCTGACAACACATCTTCCTATTTCACCCAAGAAGTATGTGGAGTTGCAAGAAGCCACGGCAAATGTTCCAGTTATGCAAGCCTTAAGCTCAATAATAATCCAGCATGGTTGGCCCAAAAGCAAGGAAGATGTACCGAATGCCGTTCGCCAGTACTGGGACTACAGGGATAAACTCTCATCTGTTGATGGTCTCCTATTTAGGCACATCAGCTTATTGTTCCTCGCAGTAGGAGAAAAAAAAATGCTATACCGCATCCATGAATATGAATCGCATTAAGGTATTGTCAAATGCAAACAGCGAGCACGAGACATCTTATTCTGGCCTGGCATGTCCTCTCAGATTGAAGATAAGGTGTCCAAGTGTTCCATATCCAACCAATTCCAGAGAGCACAACCCAAAAAACCAATGGTGATTTACGAGGTACCACTCACCAGATAGACCACGGGCTAAAATTGGAAGTGACTTGTTCGAGTTCAATGGTGCACATAACCTGCTGAGCATTGATTACTACTCAAAATAGATAGAAATTGCCAAACTTAGCAACTTGAGCAGTAATAATGTCATCTGTCACTTGAAGAGCCAGTTTGCAAAATATGATATCGTGGATGAACTAATCAGTGACAATGGACCACAGTACTCCAGCTTATCTAGCATTCAAAGAATTTAGCAGCAGCTATGGTTTTGTGCACACCAGCCCAAGTAACCTCTGGCAAATGGAGAAGCCGAGCGAGCAATGGAAACCATTGAGACCCTTTTAAAAAAAGCGCAAGATCCGTACAAGACTCTTCTTAACTACAGGAACACGCCAGTAGAAGGAATAGGCTTATCGCCTGCACAATTGCTCATGGGTATCAGATTCAAAACATCTTTACCAACACATGCAGACCTTCTAAAGACACATGGAGCCCAAGAAGTCAGGGAACACTTTCAGAAATGAAAGTTGAAAGAGAAAGTTTACTATGATAAACACAGTGGTAAAGGGCAATGGCCACAAGTTTATTAGCTTTTAGTTATTTAGTGTTAGTGACGTGTTTACTTACTTACTTACTAATGGTCAAAAGGTCACATTACAGCATGGAAACAAGTGGGTGCCAACCACAGTGATCAGTAAGCACCACACACCCAGATTATACATTGCTCAAACAACAGAAGGTCAGAAGTATCGGAGAAACCGCAGACACCCGAGCAAATGCCGAGCATCGCAAGACGAACCAACAGAGTCTGCGCACGACCAAACCAAGGCGTCATCAACCACCCACACTTCTAAAGTCAGTAAAGCACCTGTTCCTACTGGAACACCGCCTCCACAAGTGCAGAAACCTACAGTGCGTACTTGTTCTGGACGATTAGTCAAGAAGCATGCTTACCTTAAAGACTATGAACACTAGTTTGCCACTACTTCATACTTGGTAGCCATGAACACTAGTTAACCACATGAATCATGGACAGTGACTTTTTTATGTACGTTGTTTCTTGGCGAGCCTTATGATTACTTAGCTTAGCCAAGTTCAGAGTCGCATTAAAAAAAAGGAGAGAGAGGTTGTGACAACATGGCGCAGTGTCTGTCGTGTACATAATAACTGGTTTCCCATACGTCTCCACCGATGGAAGAGCAATGTGTACGTACACATCATGGTATCAGAAGCCGGGATTTTTGCCTTGGGGAACACGGGGGCTTATATGCAAAGAAAGATCCATCCGAATTTCAATCTAACTAATCCAGCTAAATCTAACTATAGGCCCACAGAGAACGAGGGAATAACAATCAGAAAAAGGATTTTTTGCATTGTAGGTAAAAGAACTCAAATGATCAAAAAACAGTAAAACTGCTCTTTGTAACTGCTTTATTGCCTGATTGCTTTACAACTGAATTACTGCTCCTTGCATGTTCTAAGATAACATCAAATCTAACAGCGCAAACGTTACTAAAATACAACTAAAAGCTGTTTAAAAACTGTTACATGATCATTGAGGCGCCGACGAAAGGAATCTTCATTCATATTCAGCCATTTAATTGACCATCATCATATGACGTTTGCCGTTCAATTGACCTCCGACAGCCACACTCCCTGAGTTGGTTCCCTGTTGACCAACATTGCCAGCGGTGTTGCCAAAGCTCATCTGACGTTTGCCGTTCCACTGATGTCCAACAGCAACATTNCCCTGAGTTGGTTCCCTGTTGACCAACATTGCCAGCGGTGTTGCCAAAGCTCATCTGACGTTTGCCGTTCCACTGATGTCCAACAGCAACATTCCCTGAGTTGGTTCCCTGTTGGCCAACATTGCCGCCGGTGGCGCCAAAGCTCATCTGACGTTTGCCGTTCCATTGATNGTGCGCAAACAATACTAAACTACAACTAAAAAGTCGGTTTCCGCGCTAAAGATGCAACCGAGGAAAAGAATCTTCATTCATTTTCGGCCGTTAAATTGATGTCCAACAGTAACATTCCCTGAGTTGATTCCCTGTTGACCAACATTGCCGCCGGTGGCGCCAAAGGTCATCTAACGTTTGCCGTTCCATTGATGTCCAACAGCAACATTCCCTGAGTTGATTCCCTGTTGGCCAACATTGCCAGCGGTGGCGCCAAAGATCATCTGACGTTTGCCGTTCCATTGATGTCCAACAGCAACATTCCCTGAGTTGGTTCCCTGTTGGCCAACATTGCCGTAGGTGGAGCCAAAGGTCATCTGACGTCGGCCAGGCTCCTCCAGCTCTGTTTCTATCAAAAGAAGGCGCCAAACATTCGAATAAAATTTTTCTTTTAGGTTTAGAGGCATTATAGAAGTCTTTATTGGAAACATGTCAGAAGGGAACAAAGGAACAAACCAACAAGACTTATCATGTACGCAAACAGAGCATCTATCAAGATGTTATATAGTCTTCTACAAGAAGTTGTACACACCTCGTCGGCCGTAGTAGTAGTGGCCGCGGTAGCCGCCGTTCCATTGATGTCCAACAGCAACATTCCCTGAGTTGGTTCCCTGTTGGCCAACATTGCCGCCGGTGGCGCCAAAGCTCATCTGACGTTTGCCGTTCCATTGATGTCCAACAGCAACATTTCCTGAGTTGATTCCCTGTTGGCCAACATTGCCAACGGTGGCGCCAAAGGTCATCTGACGTTTGCCGTTCCATTGATGTCCAACAGCAACATTCCCTGAATTGGTTCCCTGTTGGCCAACATTGCCAGCGGTGGCGCCAAAGGTCATCTGACGTTTGCCGTAGCCGTAGCGGCCGTAGCCGCCGTTGCTGCCGTAGCCGCCGTTGCCGTAGCCGCTGTTGCCACCGTTGTTGCCAAACGTCATGTAACTTCGGCGGCCAGGCTCCTTCAGTTCCGGCTCTGTAAAGCAAGTACCAAAAAATTCTAATTGTATGAAACGAACGTTTCCCTTGCTATAGATGGCTTTTTAAATGAAGAAGGCCAGAAAGCCGAAACTTCGGAATTCTCTTCAAGTCTCTATCACTAGCTTAACAACCGCTTCCCCTGCTTTATTGAGTTATTTTTTTGAGTTATTTTTTTGTAAAAAAAATACCTCTTAGTCGGCGCGTCGGGTATGTTATGGACGAGTCAATGGGCGAGTGAGTGAGTGAGTGAGTGAGTGAGAGATGTATGTATGTCACACCAATCACATTAGATCTACTATAAACAGCCAATCAAATTTCTTGTTGTAAAGGTAAATGGTATGTGAGAAGATTTGATCCCGAAAGATGTTCAGAACGGCCACATTTATTCTTCTATAAAAGAGGAGGAAGTATTCATATATTGGGTTTACTTCGACATTTTCTGTGGGTTAGGCTGAGGATTTTAGTTAA